GTGTTTTTATTTGAACACACAAAGGCAGCTTAGGAGCTTCACCTGCTACCCAATTTGAGGATAAATCAGGGAGAGGAGGCCCTGCAGCTCTTGATCTTTCTGAGGCCACCTCCCTGGGGTTGAGGTAGGAGGGACCAGAGACCTGACAGCACCTGCTGCAGCCCCTGTGTCCTGGCCCTGGCGGAGATTCTGCAGATGCTGGCCTGGCCTGCTTCTAAGAGGATTGGGACAGGTGGTGAGCTGGACTAGGTCAAGGCCAGGGAAACCTGCTAGGGAGGAGCCCAGGTGGAGGAGGGAGAGGCCAGGGACCCGGGGGAAAGAGACCAGGGAAGGAGGAGCCAGGGCTGGCGGGGGCTCCAGAGGTCCTGGGCTCCACACCTGTCACTGCGACCCTAGGACCCTGTGTAGCAGGCTCCCCACAGGCATGGAGAAGGTGCAGTGTTACCCAAATCTCAGGGCGTCAGGCTGAGCTCATGTCCTTCTCCACAGGGTCCAGGAAGCAGGTGGCTCTGCAGGACTCTGGCTGGCAGGGCTGGGGGTGGCTCTCCAGCTGGACCACCTGTCCACAGGGGAGGGCTCACGCTGAGGCTCCTGTACCCCCCACAGGCAAAGGGACTAAAGGCTGTGGACCTCAAAGGAGCCTTTACAGATATCAGAGCCCATGGGACACCCACTGTCACATGGGAGGTGACATGCTGGAGGGGAAAGCCCACCCTGGTTTTGAGAACCTGTTCTCCCCTGTGTCCCTCATGCCCTCAAGGCTCCTCGTGGGGTCTGGGTATCTTGTGCATTCCCGTCAGGGTCCTGGCACCCTGTCCCCACCCCCACTTCCAGCCCCAGCCCGTCACGTCCCTCCAGATCCCCACTAATTCTCTGTGCTGTGCTGAGGCTGGCCTAAGAGGATTGGAGCATTTGCTAAATGGGACCAGATCTGGGTCATTGAACCAGCTGTGGGGACACTTGAGGACCAGGGTGGCCACRTGGGGACAGAAGGGGAAGGGAGAGGTGAAGACAGAAAGGGAGCACATTGATGCAATGAGAGAGACCATGGGTCCCAAAACAGACACTGACCCACGCGTGAGTGGGCCTTTGACTTATCYTGAATGAGCTTCTCCATAAACCACCGCATCAGGAGGGAAAATCCCTACAGCAGCCAGGCAGAGACTCTGGAGGCTGAGGAGGGAACACCTTTTGAGGCCAGCCTCAACAACTTAGTGAGGTCCTATTCAACTTGGGGACACTCTGTGTCGAAAACATAAGGGCTGGGGAGGCAGCTTAGTGACAGAACACCCTGGCTTCAATCCCCACCCCAAAAGAAACACTGGGGCACTTCCAAAGGAGGAAGCCGAGCATCTCCCAAAGTCCCACTGCTGACTGCCACTGTGAGCCGTCCACGTGGTCTCGGAAACAGCCTGCGAACATTGTCCACGGCCACTTGAAAACCAGGCTTCTCAGTCCTGTCAGCCTCTAGAGATTTCCAGTAAATCCCTAGAGTACTCACTGGTAGAAAGCACTCAAGAGGTTCCAACAGGTAACTGCAAAAGCCAGAGTTTCCATTTTCCAAGATGACAACGCTCAGGACCTTGGCTGAGCAACTTTGGGAATGGACACAACACTATGAGCAGCGGCACATGCCTGGAATCCCAGCCACTCAGGAGGCTGAGGCAGGAGGATCACAAGTCCCAGGCAACTTAGTGAGAATCTATCTCCAGGGTTTTGTTTTGTTTTTTTGAGGGGGGGAGGGGAGGGTCTTTGTCTTGTTTTGTTTGCTTTTTTTTTTTTTGATTGGGGGGGTTGTTTGTTTGTTGTTTTGTTTTTAGATACTGGGGATTGAACCCAGGAAAAATTTACCACTGAGCTACATCCCCAGGATATTTTGAGATAGGACCTTGCTAAGTTGTTTAGGGATTCTCTGATTTGCTAAGGCTGGMCTTAAACTTGCCATCCTTCTGCCTCAGCCTCCTGAGCTGCTGGGATTACAGGCTGCACCACCAAACCCAACAAGAACCTGTCTCAAAGTAAAAAAATAAAGAGGGCTGGGAATGGGGCTCCACGGTATAGCGTCTCTGGGAGAAATTCCTAATACTGCAAAAAGTAAGTCAATAAATAAAAGTGTTAAAACAGAAAGCTCATCTATTTTACCATAATTTTTACYTCAAAGGTCACACTGAAAGGAGTGAACGTCACGTTTCCCTCTTTATCCAGGAACCCAATGGTTGATTGAAATTCTCTGCCTGATTCACTCACGTGGGGACCCCAAGTGGGTTCAATCAGTGCCCTTCTGGAAGCGCTCGCCCTGGATAGAGAGAAGGGACGCCGAGCAGTTAGACAGAGACTCGGAGGGCCCGCGCTGCTTCACCTCCCACCTTCCTTTCCACCTCTTCCCCAAGTCCTTCTTCACTTCCAAGGGCAAGGTCAGTGCCTGATGCTGTAGAAATGCTTAACAAATGCCTCTTAGACTTTAACCTGCCCCCAAAGCCCCAGAGACCCTGCTGGGGCAGGATCCTATACTAGATTCCCCGCTTTTGCTGCCCTAAAATATGAATAGTAAGTCTCCTGCCTCATAGTGAAGTCAGCTGGTCATATCAGCTGCGGGAGCCCAGGTGGCTCTGGAGGACTGGCCACTCTCTCTAAGAATGGCCACCTGCTGCACAGAGCAGGGGCCCGAGTCCACCAGCCGCGTGAGCCTCCCTGGGGCTGAGAGCTGATCAGAAGGACCAGAGAGAGCCAGGGTCCCACTCACTGCGTGATGTTTTTGGAAACAGTTTGCAGGAAGGTATTCATTTGTGTATGATATATATATATATTTTAATTTCTATACTTAAACTACATCTGGAAACATCACCTCAGAATCTCCTCTGTTGGCTGGGCACAGTGACTCTCAGCTGTAATCTCAGCGGCTTGGGAGGCTGAGGCAGGAGGATCACAAATTCAAGGCCACTCTCAGTGATCTAGCAAGGCCCTAAGCTACTCAGTGAGAACTTGTCTCAAAATAAAAAAATTAAAAGGAAGGGATGTGGCTCAGTGCTCTTGAGGGAAATCCCCAGCATGAAAATCATCCTCATGTGTCCACCAGGGGGCGCCACAGGCACCTAAGCCTGTGGGTTCACCAGGGGGCGCCACAGGCACCTATGGCCGTGTGTCCACAAGGGGGCGTCACTGGCACTTAAGCCCATGTGTCCACCAGGAACTCGACAGGCACTTAAGCCCGAGTATCCACTAGGGGATGTCACAGACACGGAAGCCCGTGTGTCCACCAGGGAGCGCCACAGGAACCTAAGGCTGTGTGTCCACTAGGGGGCTCCACAGGCACCGAAGCCCATGTTGCCAACAGGGAGCGCCACAGACACCTAAGCCCGTGTGTCCACTAGGGGGCGCCACAGGCACCTAAGCCCGTGTGTCCACCAGGGGGCCCCACAGGCACCCAAGCCTGTGTGTCCACCAGGGGGCGCCACAGGCACCTAAGCCCGTGTGTCCACTAGGGGGCTCCACAGGCACCAAAGCCCATGTTGCCACCAGGGAGCGCCACAGACACCTAAGCCCGTGTGTCCACTAGGGGGCCCCACAGGCACCTAAGCCCGTGTGTCCACTAGGGGGC